AAGGTGCAATGAAACACTGACTCCGTAATCCTTGGTTGGCAAGGGCAGCAGTAGAGTCATTGTGGCAGCCTCAGTCAGAACAGTGAGAGCTGGGCAACAATTCAGAGCTGCCACTCAGCTCCAAACAATACTGGGTTCACTATGAACTCCCATATAAGAGTGCTGTGGGATGGCTGTTTCTACCACTTGCAAAGAGTACACTGGGACATTTATTTCCTCCTCACCCCACATGGAGCAGCTCCTACATGACTGAGTCACCAGGTCTGCAGATGTATACGTGCAGCTGTTTGATGCTGTAAATCACGTCCCTCCCTGCGAGAACTTAACTCAGCTTTTCACATCATTTTCCTCTGTAAGACTGTCTCCAAACTCAGCTTTTTCACTGTGGAGTATTATTGTGTAAAAAAAAAAATAGATGTGAACCAAATGCGTACTGCGATAAAGTAGCTTATTTTTCATCAACAAAGGAAACCTGAAATCACACATCCACGTGGGATCTCACTCAAACTTCAGAAAACTCCACTCAAGAGCCAAACCTCAGCTTGTACAGAGAGCACTGAACATGACAGGCAGTTGGGACTGCAGGAACTGAGCAAAGAGCCATCAGCTCACCAGGAGTGAGCATCAGGCTGCCATCAACACCAGCACCTTCATTACTCAAGCAGAATGACCAACTCTCTATCACAGCTGAACCCTACCGCCAAAGGACAGCACAGGAGATTTCCAACTTAAAGACACAGGGAGCTCACAATCTCCTGGATCTGAGATATCTTTCAGATATTCTCCATCTCAGCAATTCTCCATTACAGCAAAGAACAGTGAAATGACACACACTACCAATGCCACAGGGAAACAAAATGCTTAAAATCACTTGGGGAGACAGAATTCAGATCTGTGGGGCTCCTCTGTCACTTGTACATTAAAAAAAGTAGATTATGCCTCAAACTGCTGGTATTAAGGACAGAGTATCACTCAAGCAGAAGCACAGAAGTCACCTATCTGTACTTCTTCCACAGACTGAACAGCAGTTTCTGGGGCCATCAGGAGGCGGGTGTGTAGCGGAGCAGTTATCAGAGCAGGAACAACACACAAAGCTCACAAGCCCTATCTTTTGCCTTTCACCAGGAAATATCAGTTCATTTCCTTATTGCCAATTGCCTGGGCATCACATTTCAGCTTCTTGGGAAACCAGAACAATTAAGGGAGGAGCAACTCCCCCGAAACATGGGAGGTGCTGCACACTTACATATCCGTATCTGAACAGCTTAAATAAGGTTTAGAGAGAGGCGACCTTTGATTTAATGCTCATGTAGTCAATGCTCTGAATCATTCCTTAAGTGAACAGTAATAAAAACCCCTCCAGCAGATTAAAGAGCAATGTGAAAGGCAAACTAAAACAAAGCATAACCTCTTTAACAGGTTTGTGTGTGTTTTTCAAACAATTGAACATCACCGCCAGTGAATATGCAGAACAACTTCAGAGCCCAACAGCCTGAACCCAGCACAGAGCTGCCAGCTGCATTTTTGACCAAAATAGCATTGTGCTGAATCCCTGGTGTGTGCCCAAAGCCCATCAAAGACTGCTTGGCCTTTCCTGTCTGCTTTAGTTGGAAGGGCAGATGGTTTCCTGGACATCTGATGACCATTTCTACCTTTGAGCTCCTGTTACTGGCTCAGGTTGTGACACCTCTCCTGCTCACACTGTGACCAAACAGCTGCCTCTTGGGAACACTGAGTGCGTGCAGCCACCAAGTCAAACAGAGGAAGAAACGTGAGGCTGCAGCTCTGTCCTCAATGGCACACGAGAACTTCAAAAGTCACAGCAGGATCAGGAGATTTCTGCATAATCCCTTTTAAAATGAGTTTGCAAGGGCATAGGCAAATATCTCCCCTCTATCTGATTCAGGAGGCACCGGGGTGTTCCACACAGAGAGCGAGAACTTTGCTCTGTTTCCTGGAGAAGTTCCAGCAACAAAGTCTCCCCTGGACCAGACCCCCACTCCCCCCCTCACGCTGCAGTCCCATGATCCCATTGGTAGGGGAAGCACTTACTGTTGGGAGGTTTTTTCCTTCTCCTGCTCCAAGAAATAAAAAACACAAGCTTGCAAAAAACCCCTCAGAACTCACAATCCCAGATGAGCCATCTCCATTACCTCCATGACTGCTGATGGCATTTTTTAACCATGTGTTCCAAAGACAACTGCTAGTATTTTTACCTCTAGGACCACCCCCAGCCACCACTTATTTTTACACCTGCAATACACTTTGCTCATTACCATTCGTGTTTGTGCTTGATAACTATGTAATGATCCACAGCGTTCTTATTTGCAATTAGTGCTGCTTGGAGTGCAGAGGAAGCTGGTTCTAATGAAATAAATAACGAAACCCCAAAACACAGCAGAGAGAAACACTGAGGAACAGCACTGAGCCTCACAAGTATCAGTGATGGGTGCCTGCCAGCACAAGCAGCAGCAGGGCAAGCTCAGCTAGCTGCAGTACTGGGAACCACTGGGATGGAGGTAGGGAACTGCAGATGGAGCAGTTCCTGTTTGCTGTGATGGAGCAGAGTGGGACTGGTGCTTCCATTTAGCACGGAGAAGTGTGACCTTTTCAACTTATCCATCAGATAGAGCACGGTGAAGCTACTGAGGCTGTTGCTTTTTGCAAACAGAGCTCACTTTGGGCCACATCAAACTCCATGATTGACTGCTTCCAGTGCACAGCTGAAAGTATTCCTGACAAAACTGTGGGCTAAGGCAGCAAAATGCATCCCGATGAGATGTGAAAGGCTCTGGGCCTTTCTCTGTAGCCACAAAATACACTGCAAACACAACTTCTATCTTCACACTCATCAAAGAGCACAAAAATGGGATAACAAATTTCAAAGTGTAACCAAATTCAATACACAAAAAAGGAAACAATCCAGCTGGAATAAACATGAGGAATCTGTTATTTATTTAAGCAAACATAGCACTCTCCATTTTCACAACCTTACCTTGTATTAACTTTTAGCAAACTTCGCTATCTCCCATTGCTGAAAAGGTAGGAGGAAGGAGAACGAGCAGTTCTCTGTTAAATACTTTCAGAAAGAATCAAAACAACGGCACAACTCATCTGAGTAGTCATGTAAACGTGACATGAAGCACTGTATGCTTATATTTCTCACTTTACTTTTCAGTGTGCAAACAGATTGAAATAAAAGGGGGGAAGCTGGGCAAAGAGGCATCATTACAAGGAGACTGCTAGGGCTTTCAGAAAGTTATCATTTATTGGCTCAAGGGGCTTCTTCCATCCCTTTTTAATTATTAATACAATCTCAAGATGCCCTCAAGATGGCATAAACTTCAGTGACTCCTACGAAAGGCCTTAAGACACTACTGGAACTGCAAAGTAAACAACAGCATCCTATGAACAAATGGCAAATTTGAGGGAAAAAACAATGGCACAGAAGCAAGAAAGGTTGCAAACAGCTGTTTCACTAACCCAAAAATGCTGAAGAAAAATGAAACAAACAGCCATGAGCTGCTGACCCGAGTTATTACAATGTGCAAAATTAAACTTTTAGCAGACTGAAAAAAGCAAAGTACTAAAAAGAGCTTATTTTTTATTATTATTTTGTGAATGTGTATTGCATTAGAACAAGTTCTTTGCTATTTAATTGTCAAAGAGCTTATTTAGACCCAAAAGAGAAAAAGCCATTAGGGCCAAGAATTCAGAGAAACTATCCACCTCTTAAAACTCAGCAGAGGCAAATGAAGGGCCTTATTGCTTTTAACGGCCTCATGCTGCCTCCCCTCCTGTTGCTTTTAACTACCTCCCAGCACCCAGGGCTCAAATATTTAAATGTAACACGGCTACGTTAAGAAAAGTCCATATTTAAAGCCTCCCTGTTCACTCAATAATGTTTGAAGTTATACACGAAGCGTACAAGATAAACGTTACAAACCTGACACACAACCGAGATGGAGCTTTAAGAGATGCTTCGGATGCAGCTTGCCACACTGCATGGCTGGTGTGCTCATTTCCATCACAACTGAAAAACATTTATATGCCACTGATGTTCAATGAAAACAGCTGGAGATGGATGAGGGAACGGTCAGATGAGAGATACCAAAATGTCAGACAGCCTACCGACTGTTGTTGCCATGAGATCCAACAGTCAACATCAGTCTGATAAGCTATCCGACAGGATGGTACAGCCATGGGGATGTCACGACGGCTGGCAACACAGGAGGACATTCATGCAGGATTGAACAAAATCCTGATTCTCACACCTTGCTCATGATCTGCCCTAACCTAATGCAGGCATGAATGTACAACCCAAACAAGAGCAAAATCAAGCCTGCCTTGTGCTCGTGTGCCACCTGTTGATAATGCTAACTGAAAGTCAAATTAATTCCTAATCCCCCCTAGGCTAAAAATCAAAAGCAACAGTTCTAAAATCACAGGAGTAGTAATACATACACAGCAGCAGTGGTGTGGCTGTCTATTTTCAAAAGAGGGAAGAGATCTGTTTTAATATGGATTACGTTCACATACATTAAAATCAGAACACTGACTTAAAGCAATATTTTATAAGCGTCTGAATTTTCAAACCTCAGTGTGAGGTTCTCTATGGCTCCACATACAATTGCTGGGTTTGACGCCAATTCTCTGTGTTAATCTGGAATCTTTATACTTCCCCCTTCTCTTCTCCTTCACAGCTCATGATGTTGTGATCAGTGGCAAACATCAACCAAGAATTCATGCTAACAATCATAGCTAAACTCGCCTATTTTAAGCAGTGAGCCACACTTCACCCAGTGATACACCTTCTACTTTGTTCTGATAAGAAGTTCTTAAGAAAAAGGGAAAAAAGAATAAAGGGTGGTTTCAGCACCATTTGTGCAGGAAGGATGAGTAAAGCATGCAACCCATGGGCTTAAGGCTTAATAAAGACGAAACTCAGCATACAAAAGGGGAAAGGAAAAGAAACAGCTTAAAAAGACCGACACAAGAAATTCTGGAATGATCAAAGATGACTTTATAAAGTTTTATCTTAACTTCATTCTAAATATACAGAATAAAAAAATGTCAGCTTCAGCATTTTGACATCAATCATCTCTGCTAACATCGTGACGATTAAAGGGCGGCTTTTCCAACCGAGAGCACGTGCAATGCAATGGGACACCGGAGAATTCAAATGGAATAACCTTACCACGAGGGACATGCAACAGTTTTTATCCAATTTGTATTCATTTATATACATCTTGATGGTCTTGAAAGTTAAGGTAAAAAAGCAAAAGAGCCGCCCTTCAAAATAAAGGTTACCCTTAGGTCAGTCTGAAATGAAATCAGGAAATACTAAACCATTGGTTTTGGAAGTAAATTCGGATGGACAACATCTGTGTTAAGCACAATTTAACATCACCTTGTCCGTGCCATATGATACAGCTCAGACGTATAAAGCCTTCATACCTTACCTTAACACCAATAAGTTTGTCAGTGAAACGTCTGTTCTAATAGCCAGATTATTTTCAAAATAAAATAAAAACCTGCCTTAGTTCAAAGTTGATGTTAAAAAGTTTTCCCCCATTTTGAATAATGCTGAATTTTAAACGTATGGAAAGAAGCGTCACTTTTTGTGTCTGCTAAAGCCCATTCCCAGTCCTTTTTCCAAGCTCATTTGGTTTTCTCTTCGGAGTACATCTTCTGTTGCAGCCTTTTGGCATAGCTTTGGGCCATGGAGTTGATTATGGATAAGATAAAATAACAAACCATGACAATCACCAATTTTTCAAACATCCATGACAGCCAGTTTTCACCCTGAAGAAGACAAAGACAAAACAGAACAAGGAGGAAAACGGAGATTAGTGGACAGCACAAAGGCAGTTCTCTCCATTTTATAAGTGAAAGGGAAAAACCCGAACATCTTTTTAGAATTCATCTATCAAACTGAAAACAGGAACCAAGCTATCTGTACAGCTGAGTTTGGTCCCTGGAAAGACAAGGCACTGGGGACTGCCACCCACACTGCAGGGCAGACAACGAAGCCTTGCTTTCTCACCCTGTGCTGATGAAGTGATGCATTATTCCCAGCGTTGGCTGGTCTCTGCTAACAGTTCAGAGAGTTTGGAATTAACAAATTAACCCCCGACTGCCAGTTTTCTTGTTCATTGCAAACAAAACAATAAGGCCACTGGTTAACAATGTTTTTTCCTAAACTGGGCATCTTCCCATCAATATCAGATTCTTCTTCATCTCAATGTTCACACGATGACATCCGCGGTCCCACTGCGTTTCCCTACTGCTCCTCACTGCTGTTTTTTGTCAAAGGAGGGCAGCACTGCACTGCACAACAGTCACATCAATGCAAATGAGAGGTATCTCAACATCTTCTTATCCCAGACTGATTCTCCCTAATTGAACCTCTTTCTATTAAGAAATGGGTCAGAAAACATTTATAAGAGCTCTAATTACTACTGATCAGTTAGTTAGCTTAACGGGCTTGGGTGAGTGGAGCTCGTGTTGAAGTTACAAACTTGCTCCATCGCCACTAAAAATTTTTGGTTTTTTACACTGCTTTGTATGAAAGGGTTCTTCTGCCCCTTTGTCCCAACACCAAACACTGCATCTTTCTTCTCCCTTTTGGACACTGACCCCCGGGGGTTCTGTTTCTCTCACTGGCCATTAAGAGACAGAACCCACTGCCCTCCCAAGCACTGGTGCTGACACGGTTTACCATCACTCCTCGTGTAAGCATAACTTCTTTCTGCTTCTATTTCTCCTTCAAAATAGACATGCTAACAGAGAGGCAAGATGAGCCATTGGTCTTATTTTATTGTTTCCTATGTTATTTAGGAGGTTTGCAGCCAGTCGCATACAAATCTTTTATTACTGTTAATTCCCAGGTTGTTTTTTAAATTAATATTTAGCTAATTCCTGGGCCACTGCAAAACCCTTCACAAAGAATAAAGAGTTAAACCTGCAAAGCTGACCCAGGGAGAAGGCAGATAGAGGAAAAGTTCATGGGGGAGGCAGAGAGGCTCTTACCTGCGGCACACCGGCGTCGTGTTTGTGGTGGAGTTTTATCCTCTGAGCTTCCAAATATTCTTGAAATGGCTTCTGAAGAGAAGGACCTATACTTGGAATAGCACTGATGCAATATTTTTTCCCAGGGAACAAGACAAAATAGAGGAGGAGAAAAAAAAAAAAAAAAAAAAACCCATAAATATTAAAAAAAAAAAAAAAAAAAAAACAACAAAACTTACCACCTTGACCCAAATAGAACAAAGTTCCAACTGAGCTACAGCTCAGAAGTGCTTTGCTGCTTGGGAAAGCAGATAAGCACAAAATAAAGTGTATTTTATCTTTAATCTGATACTTCTGGAAGGGACATGTTTCCCCAGAGCTTCAAAGTGTTTAAAAAGAAAAATATTTCAGAGCGAATCAGTGATAATACACTGTTGGTAACACAGAAAGAAGCAGTGAGCAAAGTTTCCTTAAAGCCTGGGAGAGGGCAGCCAGGGCTGTGCGCTGATGTGGTGCTGAGAATGAAATGAATGACTTCTCAGAAGTCCCACATTTATCACCAGCAGTTCCTGTAAGAACTGGTTTGAACCGATTAATAAGGAAATGACTTGTGCTTGTGTCATCCCTCAGTTAAAAAAGAAACTGCTCGCCCTATGACTTGCCCCTATCTCCTCAAAGGAGACGGCCCCTTTCTCAAACTAAGTCCTTATTAGGACAATCTGTGCGTCATCCTTATCCAGAAAGAATGCATTAGCAAATTCTGCAGGCTCCTCCCATCGGTCAGTGATTAACAAAGGAACAAAGAGAGAACTATGAACCCTGTTCTGAATCATTTCATGCTTTATGGCAGATGACTCGCACAAAAACTGCAATACGTTACTGAACACCTTGTTCCTACATTCACGTTATAAAGGTTGACAAGAGGTTTTCAGAGCTGCGAACGCTCTCCCAAAGCACAAAGGTGCCAATGCTGCACAGAGCGGCCACCGACTTCCATCCTGCTCACACACAGCCCATCCACATCCAGCACTGATCATTTTCCTGTAGATCTGAACACCACTCTATGAAGAAAGAGGACTGGGGAGCTAAAGAAACTGTCGTCACACTTTAAAAAAAAAAAAAAAAAAAAAAAAGCTGAAGCGTTACACAGCAGAAATTACCACCAGCAGCAACTGGTGTAGTGGAGCCAGGCACAACCTGAGCCATGTGTGGACACCAACACTGCTAATAGCAGCTAAGGTGGGAGATTTCCCACTGCTGCCAAACATCAGCTTTTTTTTTTTTTTTTTTTTTTAAATTATTAAAGAAATCAATATGGTCTTCTACATTGCAAAAGTCACCTACGATTCAGTGCTACGGTTCTGAGTCTTTACACCACCACTTCAGGGAGAAGTCAGTAACATCTGCTTCACTGAGCCACACGCAGACAGGGCTAAAAACCATCATTTCCTCTCTGAGTTACACGATGGGGGGATCCAGACCCCTGCAGTCATTTCCCCCAGCCTCCCATGTTGACACAGTGTTTGCTTTTCCACGTTAAATCCCAATCCCTAAGTAAGAGCTTTCTAATCTTTAAAAATTATGAAAAAGCACAAAGTGAAGCAACAAAACAACTCGCTCTCCCCACTCTATTCCCTCCACTTGCCAACAGGACAAATTGTTTTTTAAACACATTTATCTGAAGAAGATTCTGTCCTCCATGATTCACCGTACGCCGATACCAAAGGGTGAGTAAACGTTGTGCCTGGCCCGGTACATTTTCAGCCAAAATAATAAAAAAAAAAAGGATTGAAACTAAAGCACATCGAGGACACATTCTGCATTAGAGCATGTCAACATCTACAAACGGTTCCCAGCTTTTCGGAACCCACCCTTCAGAATCTGACTGTGTCTGTGGTGCAATGTTCTCGGAATGACTCGCTGATCGCTACGAGTCACCGCTGGAAAGAGCAGTTATGCTTCAGGTTTCTTTCCTTTTGCAAATGGAAGCCCAGGAAAGATCCTGAAAGGTAATACTTTATTTCTAAAATTTTGCATGAATATGAAAGGAAGTGTACGAGAGCTGTGAGAGATGAATGAGTAACAGAAGTTATTCAAATTCTCCATTATTTTGTTTTTGAAAGCTGAACCAAGTCGGTGCCAAATTAGTGTTAGACAACAGAACTAAATCATAAAATCAAGTTGGATGGCTCGGAGGGATTCTGTGCATTGCCACTATTTCAATTTTTTACCCACTAAAAGTACTCAGCATTTTCTCTTTTGTGAGCATGAGTAACAGTGAAGGGTGTGACATTGGTGTTCTATCAGTTATTTCGAAGAACTGCAAAATCCTGAACATAAGGACCTTTGTTTCTTTGCACATTCAATCAGCTTTAATACTACCAACAAAAAAAAAAAAAAAAAAAAAAGCAAAAAAAGCAAAAAAACCCCCGCACTGATTTAAAAGAACAAATACAATGAAGCAGAATGGCACTAGAAAACCAAGTTTCACTGCAGCCCCAGTACTAGAAATAAGATTTGAACTCCCATCCCGCTGACTTAGTTTTGGTTACTTGCACTCTTTCAATAAAATTCTGTGACTTACTGATTCATCATCTAAAATACAAAGGGCAGCAATTGCTTTAAAATGAATTTACTTATTTCTTTTTAGAAAAGACCCCTCGTTTTCATTTTAAATACTAAGAAATGAGAGGTGCCCCTCACAAAGACAGCCAAGCTCAACTCCCATCAAAGAGGGAGGGAGGGGACTTTGGTACAGTTTTCGGTATTAGACTGAAGGCAGATGCAGGCACAAATGCCAAAGGAACAGATTTGCATTAGAATTCTGCACCACTTAGCAAAGACCTTAAGGTACATCTTCAAAAGCGACCGAATGGTCAGAAGGCCCATGGAACCACAGGCACTGACACATCTGACTGGAAGGAAGATGCTGAGAGATAACCCTGCCTGCAATACCACCTACAAGGAATTCCTTGCATTTCCCTGTGAGAACGAAGCTTGTCTTTCAAATAAAGAATAGGAGAGGACAAGAAAATAAAAGAACCGAAACGCACAGCAGAATTGATCCTTACTCTGCAGTCTCTATATGCCAAAAATAAGAAAACACTGACAAAAAAAGAAGTAACCAACCCCTGTTCCTCCTTAAGAGCTAAAAACGTAGTGCATGTGAACTGCTGGAGGACTACAAAGATAAAGTCACTCCCTAGAAATGGTTTGCTGAGCAACAACCTGATTTCCCCAGCTGCTCTCCACCGTTTGTTAAATTCATGGTTAATTAGTCCTAAAACTTCCATTCCAGTAACAGCAAAGCTCTGCTTATTACAGCCCGCTCTGCAATGTATTCATCTGCTTTCAAATGTAAAAGAACGACCATCGATATTTGAACCTCAAGGGCACATCAGTAGGTGTGGAGGGTGGGAAAGGTTTTCAGGGAACTTATTTTTGTTACAGAGCCTTTTGAACTACAGGTGGGAGCTTTGCAAATGCAGATGGCATAAGCACCAAACCAAGAGGATAAAACATTCTCCCTATGCTAACTTAACCCTAACCATTACCTTCTTCAGGACTTCAGTCAACTCTGTATTACTAATATTAAGAATACTTTCTAATCATTTAATCACAATATTTGCACTTTTGAAAGACATATTTTCCTCCTGAAGTGATTTTAAAGAGTGTGGGTTACTCTCGAGTTGCTGATTTCACAACCCATACCTCCAGAGTTGGGGCACACACAGACCATTCTGAGCTGTGCTTAACGCTGCAGGACAGTTCTGTACCAAAGCTGCGATTTGTAATCCCGTGCTAACATTTCACAAATAACCACGGGTCTACAACTCAGGATACAGAACTCCCATCTTCTATTAATCTCTACTCGTGTGCACCTCTGTGCTTTTCCAGAAGAGAAATGTTAGAATTAGCAACATTGCCACTGCAGACTCACACTTAAGAACATTAATATGGTGAGTTTTGTTTTTAACATTAGTGAAATTTCTCATTTGTAAGGGAGCACAAATGGTTAAGCAGCTGATTAAGCAGTTCTTAAACTCCATTTACTGTGATGGAAATTAAAAATGTAAATAATGACTTCAGCGGCATTCAGTTCTGAAATCCTTACTCTATTCAGCAGCAACTGGAATCGGTCCCTCTATAGCTGGAAGGGAAATCAGAGAGATAAAAACTGAAGCCGTGGCAAACAAAGCGTCGAGTTCCCAGGATGAAACCCCAAAGCCCTGCTTGGAAAGGTGATGCAGCACTGAGTCACAACCCCATTTGGTGGATCGTCTCTCAGATCCACAGCTTCATTTGGAAAACCCCTTTAACTCAAGGCAGAGACGGATGTTCCCAGACCCTTTGGCTGCCAGGAGTGCACCGTCCTTGTCTGAGCCCAGAGACACAATATGGTGACACATTTTGCTCAGATTCAGCTATCTGGGCTCATCCCACTATGGAACAACATCCTTTTAGGAAATGCCAGCGCTACAACTCAAAATGAAGACAACAGAAAACCCAGCTAACAGGGAAATTTCATTGTGTGCTCGATCAGCATGAGGTGCACGCACTGGTATCTCATCCTGCTGTTGGAGCAGCGTGGTCCTGGGGCCAGAGATATCTCCTGCTACAAAGACGTGGCACTGGAGAATGCAGTGAGCTGAAGGAGCGGTATGCTGGGACACAGTAGCCCCCTCCAGTACTCCCAACCTTCTTTAAAAGATGCACTGACCTTAAATCAGGCACTCTTCTGACAGCTGGGCCAGAGGCCTTCACCTGCTGAGCAGTTACACAAAACTTCCTGAACCCAACACACCCAGCACCCATTGCTCCCACACTGAGTGTCTCTGTCGGATTTGCACTTGACCTTCCCCTGTAGGAACACAATAAAATCCACCTCAAAAAGCAGTGAGGCACTCTGTATGAGGCAGCACATATGGTTACTTCTGCCATTCTTCCCCACAAAGAAACCACAAATTTTGCTCAAATATGGCATCAACTTCTTTAAAAACTGTATAAATGATTGAAAAATAGATAGCAGTGGAAATATTTATGTGGCAGTGGACAATCACCAAAGCTGGTGGATTTGCATACTGTGTTCACTCTCCAAACAGTGCACCTTTCTTCCTGCAAGTT